CACTTCAAAACCGGATCTGACTGAATGCAATTTTGTGTAAGCAGTAAAGTTAGTATTATCTCCTCCTGATTAATAGAGAATACTAAAAATTAAATAAATAAAGTCATTTATTAAGGAGACTAACAATGAGCCGTGAGGTGAGGAGGAAAAGCAGGAGTTGAGGACACAAGCGTCTAAGGATAACTGTTTCCTTTTTGACAGTTTTTTGAAAAACGCAATTCCTTCTCTACTTTGTGTTGCCTGAGAGCCACTATGGTTTTATAAAATTCTGTAACAGTAATTACATGTAATCACCCACAGATACATTTGTTTGAAGCCTATAAATACTATGTTCGTAATACTAAACTATCTCCCTTGCTTATTTGTAAAAAGAAAAATATATTATATATTTTTATAAAGTTAACACTGAGGGCAGAGGAAAAGGAATGAGAAGCAGTGTATAGTCACAGTTTCTCCGAACACAGTAACCACACCGGGGTCTAGCTCAAGCCACCTGGTCAAGCAGTGTCTGAGGAAGAGTCATAGGAGGCAGAGACGATGAAATTGCTGCTGTTGGAGTGCCCGGCCACTGACTGGGCAGCCTGCTGGCTCAGATTGTTACAGATCAGCACCAGCTGGTTGCTCTGGGCCTCGGACAAGGTGCTGCAACTCTGATACACACTGAAGTTGGTTTTCCTGCCGGGGATGTTGCCCTTCTCACACATGGTCTTCACCATCTTGGCCAGCTTGTTCTTGCCGAGGGCCTGGCAGTTGTACCAATGCAGAGCCGCCAGGTTCACGACTGGCTTGATGGACAAATAGAAAGGGGCATCCTCATAGCGCATGGCTGGAGGCCGCCGCTGGGCATACTCCTTGTAGTCCTGGATGGGGCATGTCTGTGGGGCGTGCTGGGTGGCATACACACGGGAGTCCGTCCCCCCTCTCTTGGTTTTGGCATTCAGGTCGCCGGTGTCTTGACCCATCCACTCTAAGTATTCCAGCCCTGTTTCTGTGACCCGGAGCCGGATATCACCCCACTTCAAGGTAGATCCATGGAAGCCTGTGCAATGCCCAAAAGCCTTTGTGTTGTTGAGCCAGACGAGGTTGAGCAGGCCTTCGGGGTTATAGCGGCTTAGCAGTCCCCTTTTCCGCAGAATGAGCTCATCAGCAAAGGTGAGCTTCATGGACTTGTGTGGCTTATTTCCCTTTCCTTTGCAGCGGAGTTCAATCTGCTTCTGCTTCAGGGCCTCCTGGGAACGCTTGAATTCCTTATCCCTGGTGATACTGTAGCCATACCTGTGCTCTTTTAGGTACCGTTCGAGTCCACACTGGTAATTGGCCAAGCTGTTGGGTTCATATTCGGACCCATCCTTCTGCCTGGCATCTACAAAGAAAGAGGCAAGGTAGGCATCCAGCTCCTTGCAAGGGATGACATAGATCTCTCTTGTTTCCGAAGGGTACTTGGAGATGAGGAACTCGCGGAAATTGCGGAGCGCAGTCTGCGTGCTCCGGATGGTTTTCTCATTCTGCTCTCTGCTGAGCTCAGCTGCTCTTTCATCCTGGTCTGCAACAAATTGGGGAGGGGAGGGATAGAGAGGGTGTTGATGAGTTCAGACAATGCACTTTCTACTCTGAAATAAAGTTTCCTTTTATAATGAAAAGGGAAAGAAGAAATCAATTTCACAGAGGTCACTGATAAATGGTACTTATATACCTGTTGCATTGTAATAGCCAACTGTTATATTCACAAGTGATGTACCAGACAAAAGTATGGACCTCTGCAATCAAAATGAGCATCTTGTATCATTACCACAAAGTTTAGTGCGTGAAGGTTTGTGGAAAGAGTGAGATCAGAGGCTGCCTTTGTTTTAGGAAACATGTGAGACATTTAGGAGAACTTGAATTTGTAAGGTTGATCAGCGAAAGGAAGTTTTTGTAATAACCACATACAACGGTAAAAATAAAATTTCTAATAAAATTTTATTCATAAAACACTCCTTTTTGTGTTACTGTACACATTTATAAATGATCATGTTATTTTAAAATGACAGTCCTAAGGTATAATTGCCAAAATCCTCATTACTTTATAAAATGAAATAAATTAAAATTCACTAAACTAGCAAATTAGACTTTTTATAGGCACATTTTTGAGATCATATTTCTAAAATTCAAATATACAAAGTATATTTTATGCTTCATTGGACTAAACTTTCAGTTATGCTAATTCTATTTGAAGTTGTTTCTATATCGACAGTAAAGATGTGTATAAAAACGTGTCTCTTTCCATCAAAAAGATGGAAGCCACAGGTTACATGTAACCTTTATCATGCTGGCTTCCTTTACTGTTTACATGTAAAGCCAAGGGGGCCAGCACATCTGTTTATTTTGGCTACTTGTTCAAATATCTATCACAGCAGTCTTCAAACTTCAAATAAAGACTTTCTAAGAAATAAACATTCACAGACAACTTTGGGGAATAAAAGATCCAGTTCCTCAACTTTCCCATGGAATCTTTTCTAAAACGTATCTGTCTGAAATGAAGGCTGAGTTTGCACATGTTGCTATCTCAAATCTACCATGGTACATACTCTGGGGTGTACAAGACTTTGCGAGACCAAACACAATTTATAAATTGGTGATTAAATTCATAATGTTTCTTGTTCTCTGTCTTATCCATATCCTAATATAGGTGAAATATACCATGAGAAGCAGGGTAATTGGGCATAAATTGTGTTCTGAATTCAGGACTTTTGAAACAGGCTATTTATAGGCCAGTGAGGTTGATTATTTTAATCCTATGAAATACTGATCCTATTTGTGGTCAATCTCATCTTCATTTTATATAATATTCAATATTTTCTACCTCCTTTATACAAAAATACTCAAATTAAAACTAGCATTGAAAACCTTAGGGTGTCCATTTAAGAATGAGTGAGTGGTATTCAGTTACTCAAAGTTCTTTTCAAGGGTATGCGAATAAAATTTTTTTTAAAAAAAATATATTTTATTGATTTTTTACAGAGAGGAAGGGAGAGGGATAGAGAGTTAGAAACATTGATGAGAGAGAAACATCGATCAGCTGCCTCCTGCACACCCCCTACTGGGGATGTGCCAGCAACCAAGGTACATGCCCTTGACCAGAATCGAACCTGGGACCCTTCAGTCTGCAGGCCAATGCTCTATCCACTGAGCCAAACCGGTTAGGGCCGAATAAAAGAATTTAAGTCTGTTGAACTTAAGCATCATTAGTTGGTATCCTCTAAGTAGAAGGGATGAGTGACCTTGGTTCTTTGAAGGAGTGATCACTTATTTCTTGCTGTACCATCCACAAGAACCTTAATATTTATTAAATCTTACTCTTGGCTTTTCAAAAGGAGAAGCCATCCATAAAATCTAGTATAGGTATCCCCCCTTTTTGAAAGTCTGCATGATGCCACTTCACTTTCTCGAAAGACCTACATTAGGAGCACCTGTTTTTTGCTAATGAAAAGAAATCTGAAGAGGATTTTTACGTTGCAAAAGTAGCATTCAGTGTTGGTTTTGCAATGAGCTGTTACAGAAGCAGCACAAACTCTGAACAGCTAGTCCCACCAAGTTTCTTCCCTGGGAACTATACTCAGCATCTCAGCATCCAGCTGCCACAGCACTGAACTGTGTGAGCATCTGCGCTATGTATCTCAATTGATTTTGTGCATCCTTTAGCAGGATGTGTCCCAAGGTATAAGAAAGGCCAAGAGAGCTTGTAGGGTTGAAATGATGAGCATGAAACTGGGCATAAATTAAGATCTTCAATCATGGTGAACGAAATAAGGACATATAAGTCAATGGTAAGTGTTTATTCACTCTATGCCATTTTGGTTTAAGACAATTTTTATTGGAATGCTCTATGGCAGAACCATGCACAGTGAAATGGGTCTGAAAAAACCCAAGGGTCTGTGACTTGAAGGGGGGCCCCAGGAGGCGCCCCAACACTGGCTCAGGAACTCTTATGGAGACCCTGGGTAAGGTTTTTACAGACCAACTTCCTGTACTTATTTACATAGTCTTCATGACCCATTAATCCAATTATTACCTCCCTTGTTAGGAGATGGGATGGGAAAACATAATTAGAGCAGTATCTTGTCTTCTCACTTAATTTGAGATTTAGGTTAGATTTTTTTTTTTTTAGATTTATGTTAGATTTAAATTAAGATCCATTTGCTTCTATTGCTATAGCACTCAACAGAAAATAAACTCAGCTATCACACTCCTTTTATGATTTTATGAAAGTAATACATCTGAAGCAATAAAAAAACATTTCTCGATGTTTAACTTATTTATTATTTTCATTTAAGAGTATTTTGTCCTCTCGATAGAGAAAACAAATGATATTCAAATTCTCCTTATAAATCACTAAATGATAAATCCATCAGCTTACTAAATAAAAACATATTTTAAATTTGGAAAGTAAAAGAAAAGGTAAAAAGAAATCTGGTGAGTAGATTTACATTTATGAAGCTGCAGCTGGAATGAATATTTAATCCACATGTGTGGGTACCCGCGGTGCCCCCTAGCATTTCAAGAAGACCTGTGGGGTGTAGTCACAGGTAAGTCCCTGATGGTTCTGTAGATTCCATCATAACTAGACGAGAGGACTATTACACATAAAACTAATTTTAAAAAGAACATACACGGCTGTATAATTAGGAATAGAGTTTGTGGCTCTAGATCCTATAGGAATTCAGAAAGAAAAAAGAGAAGTCAAATAGAGCTTGAGCAATGTATTAAAGGATGGGTACCATTTGGTTAATTAGAATAGGAAGGTAGGGCATTCCAGGAAGAAACTGCATGAGCAAAGGGAAAGAAATGGGAAGGAATCTGGCTTATGCTCATGAGGACTGTAAAATCCCTATCCTGGTTTGGGGATGGGAGAAGGGTTGGAGCGGGGAATAAAGCTAGACCAGTAGGATGACCACATGGAGAGTTGTACACAGTCATTATAAATATAACACCAAAGAGAGGAGACTGAATATTTTAAGTGCAAAGAACCTCTAAATGCCATGAAAAAGCTGGTTTTGGGGGGAAAAAATCAATACCCCAATTCTCTATCTTTGACTTTCTTTATTCCCCTTATTCTGTTATTTTCTTCCACATACCTACCGCCATCTGACATACTTTACATGTTTACTTGATAACCTGCTTAGCATATGTCTCTCTTGAGTGGGCTGTGAGCTTCATAGGAGCCAGGACTACACAGCTTTATTCCCAGGGCCTGGAAAAGCACTCGAGAATGTAGCATTCATTAAAAATGTGTCGACTGAATTAACACAGAAGCTGACAGGAAAGTTACTGGGATAACTCTGTGTGTGTAATTACACAATTCACTTTAGACCGTTTGGAAAGGATTAAACAAAAATCAGTGGCATAAAATTAAACTTTGGGACTCACAAGCATGATCTCAGTCACTTTGTTAAGGCTCTTCAGAGAGTTGCCTTGGTCAGGGCAGGTGACGTGGACATCTGTAATAACGGTACAGAATGGCTTATGAGGCCCCTGGAACCTTTTGGCTGGGCTAATTCTCCAGGAAATAAAGACTTATCAGCCATCGCACAAATTGCTCCAAGACAATATCTTTATCTTACTCTTAGGATGAGGAAAGAAAAATAATACTTTAATAAAAGTCCATATTAGAATTAATATATCCATAAAATCAAGGTGTAGCTCCCTCCCCCCAATCCTGACCTCCACTTTAAAAAGAGATTATACTGCCTGGCTGGTGTGGCTCAGTGGTTGAGCACTGACCCATGAACGAGGAGGTCAGGGTTTGATTCTTGGTCGGGGCACATGCTGGGTAGTGGGCTCCATCCTCAGTAGGGGGCCTGCAGGAGGCAGCCGATCAACGATTCTCATCATCATTGATGTGTCTCTCTATCCTTCTCCCTTCCTCTCTCTGAAATCAATAAAAATATTTTTTAAACTATTCAAACAATAAATAAATAAAAAGAGATTATACTGACATTATGGTGTTACCTATTAGGTACTTAACTTCTTCCATACATATATTCATTTGAAAGATGTTTTCTTATGACTCTTTCTAAGTTCAAAGAAAATAATCTTGGTATTAAAAAAAACACAACAACCCTGGTTGGTCATCTCAGGAAATAGGCCAACTTCAACTTTATTTGTCTGGGGTTACAAAAATCATATTTGCCAACATTCTTATTTCATTTTTTAGAACAGCAATAGTTCCTAACCCCTACAATTTATTAAAAAAATAATGAGCTAGATTTACTTTAAAAGTGAAAAACAAATTTATATATAAACCTTATAACTACCATAAAATACATTTAAAAATCAGTGTCTTCTTTCTCCTTTAAACACACAACTCCTTGCACATTCTTATGTTTTCTCCTAAACTTTAAAACACAGGCTAACTTTCTAGGATTTTTAAGGTCGCTAATTGAAGCCAGACTTGCATGCTATTATAGCTATCTGACCAGCAAATTATTTTTATGCTCGATTAATCTTTTCCAACAGTGGGCATAAAACACATTTCCTACATAAACATTCAGGAGCATGAAAATT